GGTAGAGCATTTGCCTACTACATGAAGCCCTGTATTCAATCTCCAGCATGAAAAAATAAGCAAGCAAACAACAATAACAAAAAACTACAGTAAGCTAACACCTTACTCCAGTAAAAATGGCTATTGTCAACAGGTGCAATTAAGATCTCTGTAATCTTAGCAACTAATGGAGGCTGAAGGCAAGAAGACTACAAGTTCGAAATCAGCCCTGGTAACTTGGACCCTGTCTTAAAATAAAAAAATTAAAAATGGCTGGGGATGCAGTTCAAGGTAGAACTAGAAGGTCCTGGGTTCAATTCCCAGTTCCAAAAAAAAGAGAACATTTTCTTTTTTAAAAAAACATATTTATTTTTTAGTTTTAGGTGGACACAATATCTTTTTTAAAAAAATATTTTAATTTAATTTATTTATTTTTATGTGGTGCTGAGGATAGAACCCAGGGCCTTGTGCATGCTAGGCGAGCACTCTACGGCTGAGCCACAACTCCAGCCCTAGGTGGACACAATATCTTTATTTTTATTTATTTATTTTTTTTTAAAGAGAGAGTGAGAGAGGAGAGAGAGAATTTTTTAATATTTATTTATTTATTTATTTTTAGTTCTCGGCAGACACAACATCTTTGTTGGTATGTGGTGCTGAGGATCGAACCCGGGCCGCACGCATGCCAGGCGAGCGCGCTACCGCTTGAGCCACATCCCTAGCCCTTTATTTTTTATTTTTATGTGGTGTTGAGGATCGAACCCAGTGCCCCGAGCATGCCAGGTGAGCGCACCACCACTTGAGCCACATCCCCAGCCCAAAAGAACATTTTCAAAAAGACAAAAGATAACAAATGCTAGCAAGGGGGTAGAGAAAAAGGAACACTTTTTGCACGCTGTTGGTGGAAATGTAAACTGGTACAGCGATTATGGAAATCAGTATGGAATTTCCTCAAAAAAATTAAAAACAGGGGCTGGGGATGTGGCTCAAGCAGTAGCCTGCTCACCTGTCATGTGCGGGGCACTGGGTTCAATCCTCAGCACCAAATAAAGATAAAGATGTTGTGTCTGCTGAAAATTAAAAAATAAATATTAAAAAAATTCTCTCTCTCTCTCTTAAAAAAATTAAAAACAGAACTACAATATGATTTAGCAATCCCACTATTAGGTATATATCTGAAGGAAATAAATCGTATGTTGAATAGACAACTGTACTCCCATATTTACTACAGCATAATTCACAACAGTCATGAAATGAAAACAACCTAAGTGTCTTATCAACTGATAAATGGTTATAGAAAATGTGGTACACAATGGAATATTACTAATCCATTAAAAAGAATGAAATCCTATCATTTCATATAATAATAACATGGGTGAAACTGGGCATCATTATATTAAGTGAAACACTAGGCACAGAAAGATTGTATATGCTGAATCTAAAAAAAGATGATAGCTTAGTAGTTGAAAGTAGAACATTGTTTACCAGAGGCTAGGAAGAGAAGAGAAAAAGGAAGGGAAAGAGAAAGATTGATCAATGAGTAATAAGTTGTAGTTAGATAAGAGTAAGAAGTTCTGGTGTGCTATTGTAGAGTGACCACAGACAACAATTACATGTTTCAAAAAGCAAGAAAGGCCAGGCATGATGGCACACACGTATAATCCTAGCAACTCAGGAAGCTAAGAAAAAAAGGATCACAAGTCCAAAGCCAGCTTCAGCAAATTAGCAAGGCCCTAAGCAACTTAGCATGACTATTTCAAAATAAAAAGGGCTGGGGATGTGGCTTAGTGGTTAAGCACCACTGGATTCAATCCCTAGTACAAAAGAAAAAAAAAAAAAAAACAAGCAAGATGGAAAGATTTTGTATGTTTTCACCATTAAGAAATGATAAAAGTTTGAGGAAAGAGTTTTAACCTGACKTAAACATTATACAGTGTATACATGCCATCAAAACATTATGATACCTGATTAATATGTACAACTTTTAATATGTACATCTTTTGTTTTTAGCCAGGCTTGCTGGTGTGCACCTGTAGTCCCAGCTATTCAGGAGGCTAAGGCATGAGGATCACTTGAGCCCAGGAGGTAAGAGACCAGCCTGGGCAATATATTGAGACCCCATCTCAGGGGGTCTCAATATCCAAAGTGAGTGAAAGGAAAAATATCCCATAGAAATAGTAACCAAAGATTTAAACAGATCAATTTCAAGCAATGAAACTGAAGACACCATCAAAAGCCTACCCAAAAGGAAAAGCTCAGGACTCTCAGCTGAGTTTCACCAGACCTTCAATGAAGAACTAACACCAGTCCTCCTCAAATTATTTCATGAAATAGAAAAGAAAAGAAGGAAACCCAAACTCAGCCTATGAAGCTAGTATAATCCTGATACCAAAACCAGACAAAGACACATTAAAGGAAAGAAAACTTCAGACCAATATGCCTGATGAAGATAGATACAAAGATTCTTAATAAAATACTGGCAAATCACATATAAAATACTGGCAAATAACATAATAAAAAGATAATGCACTATGATCAAGTGGGGTACATCCTAGGGACACAAGGTTGGTTCAACTTATGGAAATCAATAAACGTAATTTACCACATCATTACATTTAAAGACAAGAATCACATGATTATCTCAATAGATGCAGAAAAAGCATTTGACAAAAGACAGTATCCATTCATGTTCAAAACACTAGAAGAACTAGGGATAATAGAAACATACCTCAACATTGTAAAAGCTATATACATTAAACCCAAGGCCAACATCACTCTAAAAGGATTGAAAGCAGTCCTTCTAAAAACTGGAACAAGACAGGGATGCCCTCTTTTCCCATTTTTATTCAACATAGTCCTTGAAACTCTAGCCAGAGCAATTAGGCCCAAGAAAGAAAGTAAAGGAATACAAATAGGAAAAGAAGAGCTCAAACTATCCCTATTTGCCAAAGACATGATCCTATATTTAGAAGACCCAAAAATTCCTTCAGAAAACTTCTAGAACTCATAAATGAATTCAGCAAAGTAGCATAATATAAAATGAACACCCATAAATCAATTGTGTTCCTATACACCAATGATGAATCAGCTCAAAATAAGCTCAAAAAATAAAGAAAATATTTGGTGATCAATCTAACAAAAGAGGTGAAAGACCCCTATACTGAAAACTACAGAACACTAAAGAAAGAAATTGAAGAAGATCTTAGAAGATGAAAGATTTTTCATGTTCTTAGATAGACAGAACTAATATTGTCATAATGGCTATACTACCAAAAGCACTATACAGATTTAATGCAATTCCTATTAAGATTCTGATAATGTTCTTCATAGAAATAGAAAAAGCAGCCATGAAATTCATTTAGAAAAAATAAGAGGGCCCAGAATAGCCAAAGCAATCCTTTGCAAGGAAAGTGAAGCAGGAAGCTTCATAATACCAGGCATTAAATTATACTACAGAGCTACAGTAACAAAAACAGCAATGGTATTAGCACCAAAACAGACATGAAGACCAATGGAACAGAATAGAAGACAGAGACAAACCCATATAAATATGTTGATGCCAACACATAAGAAGAAGATGGGGAACAGAAGTTCAGTGGATTAGACAAGAGGAATAAAGGGAAGAGAGGGGGAATAGGAATAGGAAAGAGTGGAATGAATTGAACATAACTTTCCTATGATTATATATGAATGCACTATGAGTGAAAATCCACATCATGTACAAGCACAAGAATGGGATCCTAATTAGAGTAAGTTATACTTCATGTATATATAATATGTCAAAATACACTCTACTGGGGGTCTGAGACTGTAGCTCAGTGTTAGAGCACTTGTCTAGTATGTGTGAGGCACTGGGTTCTATCCTTAGCACCACATAAAAATAAATAAAATAAAAGCATTCTGTCCATCTACAACTACAAAAAAAAAAAAAAACTAAAAAAAAAATGAAGGGGTAGGGCTGGGATTGTGGCTCAGCGGTAGAGCGCTCACCTAGCATGGGAGGGACCCGGGTTCGATCCTCAACACCACATTAAAAAAAAAAATAAAGGCATTGTGTTAAAGAAAAAAAAAAGAAGGAGTAATAAAAAATTTATCACAGTAAATAAACCCCTTAGCTCTAACATAAAGAGCACTCTATTCAACAACATCAATATATATATATATATATATATATATATATATATATATACTTCTCACATGCATGTACAACATTTTCCCATGTAGCCCAGATATTAGACCACAAATTAAGTCTTAATAGATTTAAAAAGACATCCATCATACAAAATTATCTTTTCTAACCACAACAGGATGAAGTGAAATCACTAAGAGGTAAAACTAAAAACTTTCCTAATTGTGTAAATTAAACACACGCTCAAACAACCAATGGATCAAAGAAGAAATCACAAGGGAAATTACAAAATACTTAAGGCAAATGAAAATGAAGACATAACATGACTACTGGATGCCAAGAGCATCAAGAGGTATGGGTAAGTATTGACAAATAATTATAGTTTTGAGTTTTACAAGATGAAAAAGTTCTGGAAATTGGTTGTACAACATGACCATTCTTAATGCTACTGAACTATATACTTAAAAATGGTCAAAAATGGCAAATTTTATATTATATGTCTTTTTACTATAGTACAGTTAAAAGGACTATAATGGTGAGAATAAGTCTTTTGAAAATAATAGTAATAGACTGCATAAATTCACTTAAGATAGAAAAAACAATTTTAAGTTATGCATTTTTTAGTAACTAAATAAAACCAAAAACAAAACAGGAAATAATACAAATCAAGTAGGTTTTATATTAATAAACATTCTGAAAAATACCATATAAAACCTCAGGGGTTGGAGGATGTAGCTTAGGGGTAGAATGCCTACTTGGCATGTGTAAGGCCCTGTGTTTGATTCACAGTATCAAAAAGTAAAATTCCCAACTGAAACTGAAATACTGGAAACAAAATATGCTCTGAGCAATAAACTTATCATTCAACTATGTATTTACTTCTTTTGTTTACCTGGGAGAGAGAATTGTACCAAGACAGAGGAAGATCAAACACTCTTAATGCTGCTGTCTTCAAGGAAAACTGTGATTCCCTTACTGTTTCTTCTGACATGACTCCTCTTGTAATCTACATTAATTGAAACATTAAGAACTTATTAGTCACAAAGATTCCTGGTTACTTTGCCAACGAAAGTTACAAATTAAAACTACCAGCCTTTTCTAGGGGAGTTAATTATTTATCATTTACAATTGAGCTGAAATTATATTTATTATATTTATTAATCATCAAGGCATCAAAATAGAAAATAAGCTAGATTTGCACTTAATCTTAGCCAAAAGGCCCAGAAGTGATGAAAATGATCTATAGCAGGGCATAGTGGAACACATCTGTAATCCCAACAGTTTGGGAGGCTGAGGCAAGAAGATCGAAAATTCAAGGCCAGCCTCAGCAATTTAGAGAGACCATAGCAAGTTAATGAGAATCTGTTGCAAAATGTAAAATAAAAGGACTAGGGGGACTGTGGTTGTAGATCAGTGGTAGCACACTTGCCTAGCATGTGTGAGGCACTGGGTTCAATCTTCAGTACCACATAAAATAAATAAAGATATTGTGTTCATCTACAACTTAAAAAAATAAATAAATAAATAAATAAATAAATAAATAAACAAACAATAAATGGACTGGGGATATAGCTCAGTGGTAAAGTGTCCCTGAGTTAAATCCTCAGTATCAAACAAAACAAAAACAAAAGAAAGAAAATTATCTAGATTTAAACTTTGAATTCAGGTAGTAAATTTTCCTTAGAAAATTACAAGCTCTAGATTCTCTCATCTCTGAGTAAATAAATTTATCAGCACTTAGCTGGTACAGTCACACATACCTATAATCCCAGTTACTTGAGAGGCTGAGGCACAAGGATGGGTAATTCAAGGACAGCCTAGACAACTTAGTGAGATCCTATTTCAAAGGGACAGGGATGTAACTCAGTGGTATGGTGCTTGTCTAATATGTGTAAGACCCTGGGTTCAATCACCAGTACTCCAAAAAACAAAACAAACAGACAAAAAACTACTTTAGATAATAATTTAAAATCTACTTCTTCCTATTGATTTCCTTCACATAAGACTTGAGGTAGGGAGTTGCTGAATGGAATCTGAAACAGACTTCTGGAGCTAGAAAAAAAATCTCAGAGCTGGGCTAGGTGGTGGCATACCTGTAATCCAAGTGGCTGGGGAGCCTGAGGCAGGAGGATCATGAGTTCAAAGCCAGCCTCAGCAAAAAGCAAAGCGCTAAGCAACTCTCAGTGACATTCTGTCTCTAAATAAATACAAAACAGGGCTGTGGATGTGGCTCCATAATCCAGTTCAATTACTGGTACCAACAACAACAACAAAAAAAAACTCAGAATTCACTAACTCAGAACTCCTGCATTTATCCCTCTACTGATTCGTTTAAAAATTTTTTCAAAGAAATACCAAATACATGTTATGCTTTTTTGATATTATTTTAATGTGTGCTCTTTCTCTTGAAGGGAAAATCAGATGTTTACTTTTTTTTTTTTTTTTCCTCCAAGAGATGGGTCTCCCTAGGTTGCCCAGGTTGACCTATGACTTCTGGACTCAAGTGTGTAGCCTCTCCAGTAGCTGGAACTCCAGGGAGGAACCATGTACCCAGTCACAAAAAGTCAGATTTTTATTATTTATTTGCTTTTTAAAATAGTTTTAGTTGTATATGGATATAGTAACTTTATTTTTTTTATGTGGTGCTGAGGATTGAATCTAGTACCTTACATGTGATAAGCAAGTACTCTATCTCTGACTCACAAACCCAGCCCCCCAAAAGTCAGATTTTTTAAAAAGGAGGCAGATGTCACTCAGAGAGGTCCTTAAGGTAGTAGGCCCCTCATAAGAACATGAGGGCTCTCATGGTCTGGATCTCTGCTTCATAGACCTGGAAACTCAATTTTATTGGTGTATACAGTTGAACATCCACTAAAGGTCACATGCATTCATTTATCATTGAGAAATACTCATCTAGTGATCAAAATATTTATACATGCTACAAAACATACTCTAAAAAAGAAGATTGTAGAAAGCTAAGTTAATCAGTCAAAAAAGGTTGCCTAGTGAGCATAATCAAAGGGTCCTGAGGAACATTTCATTCAAAAAAAGAAAAAAACATGAGAACCTTCTCTAGTAAACAAGAGAGTAATCTTTTCTGGTGACCAGGATATTTATACCAGCCAAATTTAGTATTTCTTTTCTTTGGACAGTGCTGTATATTTTCGAGGAGAAAATAAAAATTACCAATGATCCCCATATAGAAGTTTTTTTTTTTTTTTGCTATATTTTCCTTGAAGTCCTTTATTTCTGCATATATCTCTGTGCTTTTTCTAAACTCCAGTAGAGCATCCCCTTGTACTAACTCTCTTTTCAGAAGTGTTAAAACCACTGATTAAGTAGTGGTTTCCTTTCAAATCAAACACAGTAACACTTCTCAGGGTAGGATACTCCTACCGATACATACCTTAATCCTTACTAGTCACACTGCAATGTACCCTTGATTCCCCCTACCCATGTTTTAATTACTTTTAGACTCAGTATAATTAGTTTTATTGAAGTATATTATTCCAGCCAAGAAACTGTAATATTACACAATAATTTGAGAAATACAGAGGAAATCATGAACCAACAGTTAAGCCAGTGAAAATTATTTCTGTGGAAAATAAGGTCAGGAATGTAGGAGGGTTGGGAAGGAACCATGGCTGTTCTTTTTCTATAATAATTGATATTGTGCTAAATGATGCTCTGAAGGCACATCCAAAACCCACTAAAATATTTACTGTAAAAGGGAGGGAAAGCACATTTATTTTTGTCCCTCCCCTAAAAATTGACTCTTTTTTTTTTTTTTTTTTGGTACTGGGGATTGGACCCAGGGGTACTTTATACCCCCCTCTCTCTCTCTCTCTCTCTCTCTCTCTCTCTCTCTCTCTCTCTCTCTCTCTCTCTTTTTAATTTTGAGACAGGATCTCAAGCTGACACTGGCCTCCAATTTGCTATTCTCTGTCTCAGCCTCCAGAGTTATTGGGAGATTTTTTTTTTTTTGAACATTTTTACTAATTAAATAGATTCTGGATCTATGTTACTGAACTGTAAAAAAAAAAAAAAAAAAAAAAGAACAAATCCTGAGAGTAGTTCAAAATTTTCCACAATAAAGCATTTCAAAATTTTAAGCAGATAAGAAATAAAATAAAAAACACTTCAACCTGCTGCAGAGTAAGTCTCTTGAAGAATTCTGACAAATCTTTATTTTTGCATTCTTGATACTTTGTTTCCCTTAGTTGAAAATCTCTGCAGAAGTGGACTCTTAAGTTTAATGATTATTAACTAACTTTAAAAAACTATAAACATTTTAGTTGCTTTCAGAAGTATAGTTAAAATAAACACGAAAGCAGTTTCATGATTATTCAAATTTGTAAGAGGAGTCTAAAATATTACCAAAAATCAATGTACAGTCTGAATTTACACATCCTAAAATTCTACTTTGACTTTACAAAGCAAGGAAGTCTTAAATATCATGAAAATCCGACGTGAAACATAAATCTATACAACTGAACTCTTAGAAGATACTTTAAAGGCAGCGAAAAATGCTTAGTTACAACGATAATAAAATGGCAATGACAGTAATAATGGTCTGTAAGTCTGAGCAAGAACAAGATCTCTTGAAGTCCTCCTTCCAAAAAAAAAACAAAAACAGAATTTCAATTACAAGAAGGAACCCGATGACACAATCCTCAAAGTGCTAAATGATTCTCTGAAACCACCTTCAAAGCAACAATCTTCCACATCCTAAACCCACTGCCAGCTCACAAGCATCCAAGGGGAACCTAGGAGCCAGCTACCCCACCTCCAGCGTTCGGTCCGGAGCCCCCAAGGCGCTCTCTGCTGCTCTTTTTCTTTACCAAGAGGATCTGAAAGGGGCTCCCTCCCGGATGGGCTGCCCACACTGCCCACACCTGCTGTGGGCCACCCTGACTCGGCGCTCTCCTTGCGGATCTTGATCAGGCGAAGGGGCCTCCTGCTCTGGGTTTCTGCACCCCGCACCTAGTCCAGACTGCAAAAGCGGGCGCTGCAGCACGGACCCCGCCCTGCCCTGCCTCGCACCGCCCCGCGACGCCTACGGTGCCGCGATCCTTCTCTGCGGCCTCGCCCTCCACCCTTGTACCTGGCGCCTCAGGCCAGGTGCAGCCTGCCCACGCCCGCTTCGCGGCTGCAGCCTGGCTTGGAGATGTAGCTGCCTGACTGCCGGAGGCGGATTCCTTCCGGGGTCACGAGTGGGAAAGTGAAGGAAAAGTGGAGGGGGCCTTCTAGCCTTTCTACGTGAAGGGGTACGTATGAAGCGGCTCCCGCCATTTTTGTTTCGGGTAGAGGCTTTCAGGCTTTCCAGCTGAATGTGAAATCTAGAATTGCATCTTTTTACAAGCATGTCTAAAACTAGAATTGTAGTTGGTATACCTTTTAGGGGATCTAGGAATGTTCTGAATATCTGGTGAAAACTATGGAGACTTTCCCTAGAAAAATGCAAAGTCTTACTTATATATTATTAAAATAAAAAACTAGCTGGGTGCTGGGCGAGGTGGCACATACCTGTAATCCCAAAGATTGGGGACGCTGAGTCAGGAGGATGGCAAATTCGAAACCCCACTCAGCAATTTAGCAAGGTCCTAAACAACTGAGACCATGTCTAAAAATAAATAAAAAATAAAAGGGCTGGGATTGTAGCTCATTGGTTAAACACCCCTGAGTTCTGTTCCCAGTACCAAAAGCTACGTATAAACCAGGAGCGGTGGCACAAACCTGTAATCCCAGCAGCTGGGAAGTCTGAGGAAGGAGGATTGTAAATTTGAGGCCAGCCTCAATTTAGCAAGGCCCTACGCAATTTAACCAGATCCTGTCTCTCAGAAAATAGAATGGACTGGGGATGTGGCTCAGTGATCAAGACCCCTGGGTTCAATCCCTGGTACCAAAAAAAAAATATATATATATATATATATATATACGCACACATACATATATATGTATATATGTAATAAATGATAATTTGAAACCAATCATGTATTCCCAAATTAAGAACTTCTGGGCCCAGTATGTACCTCCATGGTACTGCAGATGCTTAGATGCATGAAGCCCTGGGTTCAAACCCCAGAACCAAAACAACAAAAAAACCTTCTACCTAGACCCTCAGCCCTCAAATGAGTGAAGTTAAAAGGCATACTAAATCTGTATAAATTATGCATTTATTATTGATTTCAATTTCTCTTTAGCTTATGTTTCCCATGAAATTAGACAACCAAAAAATAATGACCAATTATGTGAGATAAGTCTCTGCTCTCAGGCTCTGTGTAATAAATAGTACAGTAAATGGTGTAGGAAAACAAACAAAACCCAGGATGCTGTTTCTATGTGCAGTCCTGAGCCACAATATTCATCAGAACCACAGATTTGAGAGTTACAGTGGCTGAGCATATTTGTGGTGAAAAGCCAACATAATTTTTTTAAGGATAACTGAACTATGAGAGCAAATGCTATTATTCCTGTAAAAGGAACAAGAATGAAGAATCCTATTTTCAAAATTTAGCCAAAGGGAAAATAGGGAGAATGATAATTCCAAAGTGATGTTACTAGGGGGATAATAACTAAAAATGCACAGAATTAGTTCTACCTGAAAATATTTTTGCACTTATGAAATAATGGAGCTCTTGAGACTTGAAGAAACTGGAATTTGTAAGGCCATTTTTATTTCCCCAGTCCCTTCTTTGTTACCTCCCAGCTATTCTTATCTTTTTTCTCCTCTTTTACCCAAGTGTTTTTCAGGATGCATGTACAAATCAGAACTAAGCCAACCAAAGGCATCTAGAAGTCAGAGTATGGTTCCAGATGTGAATAAAAACCATCCATTCATATTAGAGTGGTACATACACATCCAAATAGAGCAGAATTAGTTCCTCACAAATGTTGCACATAGGGCTGGGGCTTAGCTCAGTGGTAGAACACTTGCCTTGCATGGGTGAGGCACTAGGTTTGCTCCTCAGCACCACAGAAAAATAGATATTGTGTCCATCTAAAACTAAAAAAAAAAAAAAATTAAAAAAAGTTTCACGTAGAATAACCATATAACCTGGAAATTACATTCCTAGCCAATACTCAAGAGACATGAAAACATACATCCAATCTTGTATACAAATATGCATAGCACCATTATTATTATCATTATATTTTGAGTACTAGGGATTGAACTCAGGGATATTCAACCACTAAGACCTATTTTGTATTTTATTTAGAGACAGGGTTAGCACCTTGCCATTGCTGAGGCTGGCTTTGAACTCTTGATCCTCCTGCCTCAACCTCCTGAACTGCTGGAATTACAGGCATGTGCCACCAAGTTCAGCAGCAGCATTATTCTTAATGGTCAAAAAGTGGAAACAGGGGGCTGGGGTTGTAGCTCAGTGGCAGAGAGCTTGCCTAGCATGTGTGAGGCACTGGGTTCGATCCTCAATACCACATAAAATAAAATAAAAGCATTCTGTCCATCTACAACTACAAAAAAAAAAAAAAAAGTGGAAACAACCCAAAGTGTCCATTAACTGATGAACATGTTATAGTCACATAAAGAAATATTATTTGGCCATGAAAAGGAATCATGTACTGATAAATGCTATAAAGAGAACAAGGTTCAAAAATATTATGCTAAATTAGTCATAAAAGACCACATACAATATGATTCTACTTACATGAAATTTCCAGACTTAGGAAATTCACAGACATGAAGTAAATCTGTGGCCGTTTAGGGCTGGGAAGATAGGGAGAAATGGAAGTGACTGTTAAAGGGCACAGAATTTTTGGGGGAGTGGTGAAAATGTTTCTGGTGATGGTTACACAAATCTGAATACACTGAAAACAATTGAATTCACTTTAAATCAGTGAACTGTATGTGAATTATATCTCAAGTAAGCTGTTACCAAAACAAATTATTACTTCTTCCTCTCCTTCTCTTTTCTTCTCTTCACTTGTAACCTCAGCAACTTGGGAGGCTGAGGCAGGAGGATCACAAGTTGGAGGCCTGCCTTAGCAAGTTTAGGGCCAGCTTCAGCAATTTAGGGAGACCCTGTCTCAAAATTAAAAAAATATAAAAGGCTGAGGACATGGCTAGTGATAAAGCACCCTGAGTTTAAATCTTAATTACTGCAAAAAAAAGGGGGGGGGAAGACTATGAAAGTAGTAAAAGCCAGAGATCTAAGGCCAGAAAATTTTCTAGACCGTGATTTCACTGCACTGTCTCAGCATTTGTGAAAATGCTATGCTACTCCAATAAGAACCATTATGTTATACTGGGAGGTGTTTATATACTAGTGTAAAATAAATAATACACAATGTATGCATATTTCTAGTAAGAGTAAAGGTATATGTGTTTTCTCAGAAGTTACTTTAATATAAATAATAAGATTTAAGATAAACTACATGGAAATAAGAGTTCATGTTTTGCATTTCCAAAAAATCCTATGACACTACAGAAGTCTAGAAAACCATGTGCCATTGCTAAACTTAGTTTGAAAGCTGGGCAAGATGGCTTGCACCTCTAGTTCCAGCTCCTTGGGAGACTGAGGCAGGAAGATCTCTTGAGTCCAGGCATTTGGGGCTAACCTGAGCAACATAGCAAGATTCTGCCTCACATAAAAAGTAAATAAATAAATGATTTATGTGTTACATAAATATATTTGGTTTGAAAAAGTTGCATCTTCTATGTATTTAAATGAAGGAAATTTAGAAAAAGGCAAGACAATTACTGTTTCTTCAAATTAGAATATATATATATATATATATATATATATATATATTTTTTTTTTTTTTTTTT